GGTTTGGGGGTCACCACACCATGAGGGGCTGTATCAAAGGGTTGCAGCATTAGGAAGGTTGATTACCACAGGTCTGCGTCTCTCTGGGTGAATCATTTAAACCTTCTTGTGCCATAGTGACTTTGTTGATAAAATGAAACTAAGGACAGTAGAAAGCAGTGCTTCCTGTCTGGGCTGCTGAGAAGATTAGCTGACTTAATAGCTGGGAACCACTGAGAACAGCCTGGGCCTTAGCAAATCCCCCTTGCCTACTGTTGCCATGCTTTGGGGTTATGGAGAATTTTCTGGAGAACATCTGAGACCTCATGAGCTAGGCAGATGTCTAATAGGACATTGTATGAGACCAGCGTCTTCAGATGCTGGCTTTCAGGAAACGGAGAACATAAAAGCCACTGAATAAACAAGGCCCTTTACACAACTTCAGTGCCCTCTCCTGATACTGTCTGCAGTGTTGACATAACTAAACAAACACAGCTCCCGTCAGAGTGTAACCTTCAAACACTTGAGAACTTCCTAGGGTGGCCAAACCTGCAGGGCGGCTGAGGGATTGGGAACCCATGCTGCCTGATACCATCAAATGCCTTGGTAAAGTCAACAAATTAAATTTTAAGGTGCTCCCAGATTTGTTCTGTGTCTGATCTCTGGCAGAGATCACATCCAGCAATGTGTTCTGGGACCTGTGGCTTAAAATCACATATTCATTTCTGCTTTCTGGTCTGGATGCACAGGCTATACCAGGCAGGACTAGGCAGAGAGAAACGCGATGCTATCTACTTGGTAAGTCCCACTTTGGAGGTGTGTCCCTCCAGACACAATGCTGGCAGTAGTAAGCTAAACTAGAATGTGTTCAGAGAAAGTAAAAGCAACTACCTGGCCCTGGTAATCTTTCTTTGTCGTTTCCTCCTCCTCCTCCTCCTCCTCCTCCTCCTCCTCCTCCTCCTCCTCCTCCTCCTCCTCCTCCTCCACCTTCTCCTCCTCCTCCTCTTCCTTCTCCTCTTCCTCCTTCCTCTTCCTTTTCCTCTTCTTCTCCTCCTCTTCTCCCTCCTCCTCCTCCTCTTCCTTCTTCTTTTCGTTTTTCTGAGATAAGATCTTATATAGCTATGGGCTAGCCTTGAACTTGCTATGTAGCAGAGGCTGCTGTGAACTTCTGACCCTCCCATGTGATGGAATTACAGGCATGTACCACCATGCAGTGGGTTTGTCTGGTGCATGCACATGCAAATGTGCTTGTGTGTGTGTGTGTGGTTTGAGATATGGTTTCTTATAGCCCAGGCTAGCCTTGTTGAACTCAGGCAAGCACTATATCAACTAAATGACATCTCTGTCCCTGAAGGTAGACTTTAACGTTAGATTCTTCTCTCGTCAGGAAATTGTTCTCAACTGGAGGCTACAGGTTCCGCTGGGAACATCTGGCAATCTCTATCACAAATGGATGGAGGGGAGATCCTGATATCCTTTAGGCAGAGGCGAGGGACTGTTACAAATCCTGCAGTATACTGGCCAACACCCTCACAGAGCATAGTTCGGCTGAAAATATCCATGGTGGAGTCTGAGGAGTCCCATGCTAGGTTATCTTTAAGTTTCCATCTAGAGCCAAGCATCCGGTGTTTCTGAAGTGATTTGTTTCTTTAATTGTGCAAATGTTTAAATAGTGACTACCATCTCTTGTCAGAGGAGGGTCGTTCAGTCATGCCGTAAACCTCACACAAAATATTAACATCCTCCTGTATCATTCCTGCCCAGCTGCCAATGAAGTGGTGGGAAACTCATCACCTTGGATTTGGCCAAGAATCCCTGTGGCATCAGCATCAACTCCCAGGATGACACACACAGCTCTGGCTTTAAGGAGTGGGAACTTCCTTTCTTTTCCTTCTGGTGGAAGCAGGAGCTGCTCTCAGGCTCATTGGCAAGTCCCTTACATGCTAAGAGCTGTGAAAGAATTCACTAAAAATGGCAACCGGAAGTGATTTTTTTCTTTTTCTTTTTCTCTTTCTTTTTCTCTTTCTTTCTTCCTTCCTT